AGATCAATAATTTATCTGTATTTGAACCGGGACTTGATAGTCCATTTCTGTAGTAAACTCATAGATACTATTATTCCACTTAAATAGTTTGCACTGTTGATGTTGATTGGGAACATGGTCAGTGATATGCAGACTAGGTGATACAAATGCTTTTTGATTATCTTTGATACTTAGGTTTTCCTGGCATCCACATTTTTCTTGCGTGTGTCAGTATTTTCTGTCTTAGTGAAGAAAGGCACTTTTGGCACTTTGTCTCAAAACTGTGAAGCATTGCTACAGCTCTTTGCTGTTTAGGTAATTTCTTGCCCAGAGTGGGGTTTTTTTGGAACTCAGATTTTCCTGTTAAAGGAAATGATGAAATGGAAGAAGTAAAGGCATACTGTGTGCTCTTGCATGCTGATAGCCACATTAAAGATTCTGCTTGCCAGAATTGTACAATATCATCTGAGATTGCTGCTCCTTATAAGCATATGAAAAGACAAGTTGAAACGCCAACTCTTGCAACCCTTGGCGTCGACGGAGTTAGCTTCAGTTCCACCCAGTAACATCTTGACTCACCCTTTCTTCACCGCATCTCTGCTCTGGTCCATCCTGAGATAGGATTTGCAAGACTGAGTTGTCCCAGGCTTAACCAGATGTCTGCAAGACTTTGACTTTTCCCTGAAGAATCCCTGGGTCTCAAAAGACTGGTTGTTATTCCTTGAAAATACCCTTTGAGCATTTCTCCTTCCTCTAGGAAAAAATTTGCCTTTGTTAGAACTTCAGAACACCTGGGAAGTTGAGCCCATGTGATGCTTTATATCCCTGAGGTCTGTTATAATAAATTCTCTTATTTTGTGGGGTCTGCTAAAGCAGCAATCCCAATATGCAAGCAAGCTTGCTCTGGGAGTGCTAGAGGCCACAGAACATGGTGATTCGCTACTCTAAACTAGTGTTGAAAAGATAAAAATATTAGCTTTTGTGTAGTTGACCTCGTTTCTGTCAAGTTACAAATTGTTTTGAGAACAGCAGTGAAAATGCTCCTTGGAATGCAAGTGTCTGTGCTGGTGGGAGGAAGTGTATTAGCTTTAAGCTTGTGTTTTGGAGTATATTTAAGTGCTGTCTACACAGGAAAGATTTAAGTACAGCTTAGATGCAGGAGCCAAACTGTATTTTGGAAACAATGATGGTTTACCGGGACTGTGATGTGCAACGGGTTCAAAACCAAAAACCCCTGTCTGGTAAAACATGAAGCCTGAGTTGTGCTTCTAGGCTTCGATTTGAGGGCAGTCTGCTTTCTAAAGGTGAAATGCTGATATGTCTTGGCTATTTCCCTCCTAATAAATTAAACGTGCCTGGGAATGTTCCCTGGCACTGTGGCCAACTGTCTCGGGACTGCCTTGTCTATACTTTTAGTTACCAGGGCAGGGTGGCTGCATCCAAACTGCCCAACGAGAGTGGTTCCCTGTGGTTTGCTGACTCCTGAACCTGGGAATTGTGTGGGAGAAGGCTAATTGGCACGGCCCAGTGCTGGGGAATGTCCTAGCTGCTTTCTAGCATACATGATCATGTTCCAGGGCCTGGGAATGTTTCCAGACAAGACTTATGAGTACAGATGTTAGTCCTTGATTCTTCCAAATTCTTCATGGACTAAGGCATAGAAGGACTATTTACATGTCAAGGGGTTTAGGATGCTTCAGAAAGGTAGGTTTAGGAGAGAATCCTATTTATTTTGGGGCAGTAATTCTGCACTACTAAGAATTCTCTGCCTTCTGTCTCCCTTTCAGATGGTTTTAGTATCTTCCAAAATGCAGTCACCTTCTTTCCAGCCACTACCACCGATAGAGTAGACGTGTCTGCCCTCTGTCAGGCTATTCCTTGTGTATGAATGAACATACTGTGGCCTTTCAGGGAAGTGCTGTGTATGAATTATGCTTTTTATGGTTGTGAGGAATTTCATTCTGATGTGGTGTGCGTGTGTGTGAATATTAAGAGCCCCAGTTTGCTGTCTGGGTGAAGTGGGTGGTGGGGGGCAGGGGGCTGGCCTTGCATCTTTTAGGCAGTGGGTCTTTATGAGCAGGAGAGCAAGGAGACCACTTTATTTCCTTAGATGTTTCTTCTAGTGAACAGTTAAAGCTGTGTTGGGCTGACTTCATTGATCGTACAGGATGATTTCCTGCAGGCTCTCTGGTGTTTGATGGTGGATTATTGGCATGGGAGTGTAGTCCTTGTGTAGATGAGCCAGTAAAACAATGATAATAATCCTAACTCTAAGCAGACATCCCTCCTGGAAGACAGCGTATCATGTAAGCTGCTGAATATTGAAGCAGTTTTTCCTGCCTTTTCTGTACTTCCTGCCCTGCCCTTCTTCCATCGCATCCTGAGTTTCATTGCGAGCTGTGGCTCGGTCATACTGACACTTCAGGGTACTCTTTGTCTTTCTATAGGTTATGGAACATGCTGTCAGCTTTGCTAGTTTGAATATTTATGGAGAGAAGCGGTTAGCGATATAAAATGCTGTTCCTGTTCATTGAGCTTTGTCAGGGGCTATGAAATTTTACTTTTACATGTGTCATCTAAAGTCTTGTGAAGTGAACGCGTGGTCTGTTGTGCTTACACCTGTGACACACCCCACAATTTTGGGAACATGTAATCGGTGTGACAGCATCAGCTTTGGAGCACTGCTTTGTATAAAAGATCCGTTGCTCAAAGGTACTGAGCTGTCAGAGCTGACTCTGTCAATTAATATGCAGCAGGCTTTGTGTCTGCTGATTGTTCTTCTACTTTAATGTGCGTAATGATCTGTCTTACAGTAGTGGTGTATATTTAAGGACACGGTACAGGGAAGCTCCCTGGTGTCCCACAAGGCTGCCTGTGTGTCTTCAGGGCAACACAGCTTCTGGCAAGCCACCGTCCTGGAGGCATTTTAGGAATATGAAAAAGAGAGGTTGCAGGCTCTACTGATCCATCGATGGTCAGTATTCCTCCTCTGCTCCACTCTGTTCCTGGAGATCTGCAGTGCTGCATGTGTCCCAGATGGATGTAACTGGATGAATGAATGGAAAGGTCAGGCTGGATGGGGCTTTGAGCAACCTGGTCTGGTGGGAGGTGTCCCTGCCCAGGGCAGGGGGGTTGGAACTGGATGATCTTTAAGGTCCCTTCTGACCCCAACCATTCCATGATTCTGTGGATGTTCAGGATAGTTGGCTCTTTTGAAGAGCTGGGTATGTCAGAGAAGGGGCCTTCACGTGTGGTGCTGCTGCTCTCTCCTAGACAAAAAGTCATCTAATAGAAAATTTTACTTGTGTCCGTAATCAGCAAATTGTCAAAGGCCATATTTTATTTACCATTTCTATTGGTGATAAATGCAGGCTGCTGCCAAAAATTGCACTCTTAATCCTCCTTTGTGGTGCTCAGGTAGCTCCATGGTGAGTCGAACAACTGATCTGGCTCAAAAGCAACTCTAAAAACATTAATTTTCAGCCAGTTGCTCTGTCGATCAGGTAACTAATTCATTGATTTGTGTTGGTGCTCAATTGCATGGACATTTCAGCCTCCCAGGATGGCATTAGAAATGAGGTGCGTGGGATAGGCAAGAAGTGGACAAGGACCCTTCCCTTTGCCAGTAGCCCACACTTATATTTTATTAAAGTCACGTGAAATGTAGATGGTTGTCAGGCCTGAAAGTGATTTTAAGTATAGCACTGTGCTGTCTGCTCTTTTGTTTCGTAACACAAATGTCTTTTATGTGTGTAGGGGTGAGAAATAAAAATACCTGCTTTGCTTTCCTTTCCTTGAACACTCAGTCCAAACTTACAAGTGTATCAGCTAAGCTTGGGAGCTTAAATTTAAATAGCAAAGCCTATATTTAAACCAGGAGTTTGGTGAACTTGGATTTCTTTTCTTTTTGTTGCAACTTTTCAGAAGTGTAAAGGCAATTTTTCAGACTTTTCAGAAGTCTGAAAATTCAGAAACTTTTCAGCACTTTAAAGGTAATGGAGCAGCCAAGCTTCAGGGTTTGTAATTAGGGAGTGGAGCTGTAAGTTGCTCATCAGCTGTATTATCTTCATTTCTGAGTTGTGAAGTCTAGTTGTGTGTTACTGTTGGTTTTCGGTGGTGACAGGACAAGTCTGTGATGGAGCTTGATTTATGCTTCTGAAACTGTGCTGCCCATTCACAAGCCCATGTTCTTTTCTTGCCTTATTTAAATCTGCCACTGCTTTTAGTTTGTGTCTGCCACCGGAGGTTCTTTTTTTCTGAAATATAGTGATCTTGTCATTGACCCAGTTTGGTAAAGAATTAGTTGCCTCTCCTTTCCTCCGGCTTGATTTAGCAATTAAAGTTTTGTTATTCTATAGCTAAGTCTTAAAATACTGTACTGTCAAACTGTGTTTAACATTCCGTGTTTTGTATACAGCGGAAAAGAATAATTAGCTCTTTAATTAACAAGAGTACAGAAAACAGTGAGAAGCATCAGCTGCAATGTGCTTTTCTTTGGAGTCTGAATCTTACTTCTTTTAGGAAAAGCAGCAAATTATTATGTACAATGAGATTAATGCTGAAGTGGTTGTACCTGAAAGGTAGATTGTGATGTTGAGTTTCAGATACACATGGCCTTTATTTGAAGTCTTAGGGAAGTTTATGGTTAGAAACAAACAAAAACAAAAAACCCAACTGAGAAACTACCCTTTTAAAACTGAATTTTGTTAAGAGCTAGGCTGAGGAAGTTTTGCCTGTTTTAAGGAACATTACAGCTGTATTGACTAGTTAAAACCAGATAACTTGTTCACCTTTTAAAAACATTATCATTTACCTTGAATCACGTGTTCCATTTTGATAGCCTCCTTCATATAGAAAATATAGCATGAGATGTCAGTTTAAATGCAAGTCTAACAATGCTCTATCTTCTATGTGAAAGGAAGTATTCTGTACATTTTTCCATGTTTGACATCATGGTGTTTTGAATAACCATGTTCCATATTCATATCAATTTTTTGTTTTTGTTTTCAATTTATGCACAGCACTTGCTCTGAAATTTGGGGACTGAGTACACCAAACACGATAGATCAGTGGGATACAGCAGGCCTTTACAGCTTCTCTGAACAAACCAGGTGAATATTCTGCCCTCTCTCGCATCGTAGAAGTCTTGTGGGAGGGATTGGCTTTGGAGGGTCTGTAATGGGATGCTTTAGCTGTAAAAATAGACTAAAATGCTTCCTAGGCCTCTCATGGTACAGCACTTTAAAATATTTGCTTGCCAGTGTAGAAATCCAAGTGTTCTCAGCTGATGTTTTGACCAATGAAACTCTAATTCTGGAATATTCCTTTTTTTTCACGCCAGTGCCACTGAAAGAATGGGAAGACTTGTTAAATGCAAGCTCTAATGTGATTTGGTATTTATATTAACAAAGTTGGGATACTTAATTCTTTAGACCTAATCTTACAAAGTGATTAAACTGCTTTGTATGCCACAAGCTTTCCGTTAAATCTTGCTAATTGGCTCATATACGAGCTACTAAAGAATTGTTTGTAAATTCTTCAGTAGTTAACGGTGGGCGAATTCTAAACAGGTTCTCTATTTTTTCTCATGTCACATTACTTGATTTGTGTATTGAGGTTTGTCTCCCATCCCATAACAATCATAAACATCTGCATTTGTGTAAGCATATGCAGTCTTGTCTTAAAACTAGCAAAACGGTTTCAGCTGGTAGCGGGGCAGATGAAGGTGAGAAGATAAACGGTACAGCCCTTAAAAGAAGTGAATTCATGCTTTTTTTGCATTACCGTTACACTGCCACGTGGATCACTCGGGCAGCTGACTGCTTATAGGCTTATTTGCAGTCCTGTGGGAATTCTTATGCTTTAAAGCCATAAAGCATCCATGCCACAGCAAAGCCTTGAGGTTTAGCAGTGGAAGGGACTGTTAAGTGTGTGATTATTTTTATTTATTCTCTTTTGTGTTTGTTTTTTTTTTTTAACAACTGTCTTCTGCATTTAAAAAAAAAATGTATGTGAAGCAATCATCCTAAATACTTGGTTGGAGGTAAAGTGGCTTTTAACCAACTCTAAATTCACTGGCAATAATTTGAGCAGCTCAAAACTAAGTTAAGACACTGCTTGATACCCTCGTTTTTTATGACATTTGAAACCTTTTTTTAACAAGAGTATAAACGTCACTAACAGTGTCAGTCCACTGAACTGTGAGAATAAATAAACCATCCATCCCGTGTGTGTACGCTGTTGCTTGAGTGATTATGAGGCAGAATGAAGTCTGTAAATCCTTCTCCACATCTTTCCCATATAGATCTCTCGATGGCCGCCTGCAGGTGTCTCACCGTAAAGGATTACCACACGTTATTTACTGTCGCTTGTGGCGCTGGCCAGATCTTCACAGTCACCATGAACTTAAAGCAATTGAAAACTGTGAATATGCTTTTAATCTTAAAAAGGATGAAGTATGTGTAAACCCTTACCACTACCAGAGAGTGGAGACACCAGGTAGGAAGACTCCTTCTGTCTTCATATAGCAGCATCTGTACGTACTTGTTCAGCGTAATGTTTTAAATGAAAAATAGAGAAAGATGATGCTTTCTCTTGCCAAAAATACAAGATTCTTACATACTTAGTTTCTGAGAATACCATGCCCTGGAAGTTTTTAATAGTAAAGATACTGAAAAGTCTTTACAAATGTATTGACTACCCCTGATAAACACGTCCAGTACTGCTAGCAGTTTCCAGGTGGCTGGAAACTAACCAGTCCAGACTGAAAAAGAGAATAGAGATGACTTAGCTTTGCTAATGCAAAATAGTTTTAATCGAGAGATACCTCAGGAATCTGACTCCTCTGGTAAATAGCAGTTCAGTTGCAGTATTAGCAGTACTGAAGAGGCAGAAAATTTCAAATCATGTTAAGAAATTGTTAGATGGTTTAGATTTATTTATTTATTTTCCTTTTAGATTGCAGAACTGAGTCTTTTGAGGATTTTACTAATGCTTTGTGTTTTGTTTTTCCAGTCTTGCCTCCTGTACTAGTGCCGCGGCACACTGAGATTCTAACGGAGCTTCCGCCTCTTGATGACTATACCCATTCCATTCCTGAAAACACTAACTTTCCAGCTGGAATTGAACCACAGAGCAATTACATACCAGGTATTTTCCTAACTCCCACTGTAAACACTACACTTAGCATTATGCCACAGGAACAAAGATGGTAATTTCATCCTGCTAAGTCACCAAATTAATTGAAAGACGGACCAATAAATAAAATGTAGTTGATGTCATGTATTAATTCCAGTGGAAATACCTGAAATTAATTAATTAATTCCAGTGGAAATACCTTGTTTGCAGAATGCTATTCTGTGTGAAACCACACTGCTGTGGTTTCACAATAGCTTACTTGATTTTAATAGCTTATTTAAGATTCAAAATGCTAATGCATGCAGAGTAGACCTTCACCTTATGCTTTAAACCTGTTTTACCAACATATAGGTGTTGCCAAATGCTGTTTATTTGTGATTGGGGAGTAAACTGTTTCTCAATGTTATTGTGTACAGTATGTGAAGAAAACTCAAAAGTTGCAAAACAGTGACTTAAAAAATATTCTGATTTGTAGTTCACAGTCAATCAAGGTCTGCTTAATGTATTGTTACTCTTGTGTGGATACAGATTTGTCTTATTAGTATGAAAGAACAACCAAACAATATTGAACTCTTAAAGAATTCCTCCTCGTCGTCTTTGCCTCTTCCCCACCATAAAGAAAAAAAATACCAAGACTAATCTGCTACAGTGCACCCAAAAGCCTCTACCCTTATTGAAGCATAAAATGAGTGACCTTCATTTCCTGCCCCAGCTTCCTGTTTCCTATCTCTTCAGGAAGTTGCCTGGAGTGTAAAACCAAGCAAAGCTGAAGTTTTTTTTCATAAATGTTTAATGCAACTTTGTTACGAACAAGCTGAAAATTCAGATCTGGTCTCTCTTGCAGAATAAAATGACTGCTGTGAAATTCAAATACAAGGGATGTACGAATTGTATCTACACAAGGATATTACTTGTGTTTTCTTTAAATATATCCAGAAACTGAAATGGCACCCAAAAAGCTTCAATGAATTTCATCTTACCTGTTTAATTTGTGCCACATCTGTTGCCGCCTTGGGACAGCAGATCTTTAAAGAGCAATTTAAAGTGCTAGTAGCTGGTGTAGCTTTCTTCTCTATACTTTTTTGACTCAATCTGACGTCTTGTGATAGCATTTGCAAACAACTTGCTGGAAAAGCCAGCATTTCAAAATCCAGTGCTATGGAAATGAGCTAAAGTGCCTCTTAAGTAATTATTTGCAGGAAGTTTTTTCAAGGTGATTATGGGTGTTCACGTGATACTTAAATGTTTATACAGCTAAACCACACCTTGCCGCCTTCTCTTTGTCACTGACACCCTCCTGTTGTCTTCATATCTGGCATCTCACTTTACTTGACCTTGCTAACTTAATCTTGAATAGTTAGCGAGGTTCTGATAAGTCTTGAGAGCCTGCTTCAGAGAGCAGTTCTCCTTAGTGGTAAACCAGACTAACCACCGTGGTAGTTTTGCACCGCAGTGATGTCTTGGTCTACAGAGAGGTTGGTTTCACCTACAGCTAGGAACCATAGAATTGTCCAGGTTGGAAGGGACCTTTAAGATCATCGAGTCCAACCATCAAACCAACACTGACAAAAACCACCACTAACCCGTGTCCCTCAGCACCACGTCTGCCTGGCTTTTGAATACCTCCAGGGATGGTGACTCCACCACTGCCCTGGGCAGCCTCTTCCAAGGCTTGAGAACCCTTTCCATGAAGCAATTTTTCCTCAGATCCATCCTAGACCTCCCCTGGTTCAACTTGAGGCTGTTTCCTCTTGTCCCATCACCTGTTCCTTGAGAGAAGAGACCGACCCCCCCTGGCTACACCCTCTTTTCAGGGAGTTGGAGAGAGTGAGAAGGTCTCCCCTCAGCCTCCTTTTCTCCAGGCTGAACACCCCCAGCTCCCTCAGCCTCTCCTCACAAGACTTGTGCTCCAGACCCCTCACCAGCTCCATTGCCCTTCTCTGGACCCACTCCAGCCCCTCAATGTCTTTGCTGTCATGAGTGGCCCAAAGCTGGACACAGCATTTGAGGGAAGAAGGTGACTGTGAAGGTGCAGGATGGCCTTTGGGGCTGTACATTTGCTTTCAGGTTACAGATGCTCTGAGCTGCATTGCCCAAACTTCTGGCAGTGTTCAAGCTCTGCTAAAAATTTTGAGCATTTATTTCCAGCTGTGGTGGTGCTCAGCCTCTGACCCTAAATCAGTATTAATAGTACTAGGTAGAGGAAATCTCTGTTCAGACAGAGACTAGATATGGAAAATAATCTGTGCCAAATAGCCCAGATTAGCAACTGGAAACGGGAGGTGTGGGTTGGATTGGAAATGGTTATTGACCTTTTACCATGGTTTAGCTGTAACAAATGATTTGGAAATGGGTGGGGTCCATTTAATGACAATGAATTCTATAAAAATGTTCAAAACAAATACGATTTTTGTCATCTTTACTTTGCTAGTAAATATTTCCCTAATGTCCCTGGTAAATTCTCACTTGAATTTTGTCATGTCTACGTTTAGCATAGTAGTTTTACAGAAGGAACACAGATACAATTCGTTTTGATTCATTTTTATTTAATCAACTGACTCCAGTTTCCTCTTGCAGACTTCCTTCTGATCTTACTATATCGCTGTAAATCTCAGACATAGTATTTGATATAATTTGATTTTAATTCTTAAGCAAAACACTTTATCTTTAAATAAAATGCTTTATCTTTAAATTTCTGCTGTTTGGTAATAATGTAATTAAATATGTCTAATCTCTCAGATGTCTTGGAGAAAATTCTAAAGTGGTTGTAGAGATAGTTAGCTTCAAACACTTTCACTAAAGAAATCCAGGTTTTGCCTTTATAGGAAAAGACATTTGCCCGGTTCAAAGAAAATTATTTCCTGAAAGGCAGTTGGTTAACTCATTATCGGGGTTACAAAGCACATTTTGAATGGAGAAAAGGAACAACCATATTCTCCTGGGTTTTGAAGATATTTTTGTGGAATTAGACACAGTTATTAGTATCAGAATGCTTGAAACTTGTTACTGAGTTTACTGTGGTCTGTGAAACTCCTGTCTTTAAACTAGTTAAAAGAATAGATCATTGTTTTAATAGAGCATGGAGGTAATAATGATAATAGAGCTTGTGCAGTGTAACTAGTTAAATAATACAGTTATCATTAATGAGTGAAATCAACTGTTGGGTATTGATCTGGGGACTGAACTGAAAAATAACCTTTAAATCCAGCAACTTCTGTAAGGCGTGGGAGGGTATCTGGTCTGATGGTTACACTCCATAAAGACAACTCACTTTTTTTTTTTTTTGAAGTCACCAGATGGTTTTTTTCATTTGTAATTCTACTAAATGTGAAAGCTGTTGATCACAATTGCAAAATTGTAGTGAAAGGATCTTGTGTTAAACGGAGCAAACAAGGATTAGCTGTTAATTATATAACATATTTGAGTGGTCGACTGGTGTCTGCAAGAGATGATACATTTTATGAAGACAATAAGACAGGTAGTGCCTTTGAATTCCTACTGGAAGGAAAAAGGTACAACAAAATGAAATTCCAGTTCAATATTCAGGTATCATATGGAGCTCTTGAAGACTTGAGGACAAAAGCCCCAAATGTTAAATCTTGCAGATTCACCAGTCGTTGAACCAATAGGTGGATTTTATATATATATATATTTATTTTTTTTTTTTTCAGAAACACCACCTCCAGGCTATATTAGTGAAGATGGAGAAACGAGTGACCAGCAGTTGAACCAAAGCATGGATACAGGTAACATTTATTTTTTTTCCGCTGCTTCCAAGACTTGGGATGACGAGGCTTGATCCCTCTGCACCGTGGCATCAGTTCAGCCTGAACGATGATGGCAGGGAGCCCTCTGTACAGCCTGGTGTTTCTGTTCAAAACATCCCTTTCAGTGTTTTGTGAACAAAACAATTCTTTGCTAGAGCAATGCTTTTAAAATATTCTAATAAATACATTTCATTTGTGTTGTATCAAAAGCAAGCAGATCTAATTAAGCCTTTATCAAAAAGCCTATAGATGTTAATCATTGACTGGTTTCAGCTTACCCTAACTTTACAAACTGGAAACAGATTCATTGAAGCAAAATATGTGTAGCCCTAAACAAGTTGCAGAAATGCTACATTTTGAGGACCTGTCTCTTAACTCTGACATCGTTATCACTTTTGCCATGTTTCAAATTAATTTTGTAGGGAAGGCTCTATTGAAAGAGTAGTAGAAGCATCAAGCATTTGTGCCTTTGTATGAAGGAGTTTCTAGATAATCTGTTTGGTCTCAGACTTGGACAAAGCACAATTAATGTGCTGGATAAGAACCCCCTGCTATGTGCTGGCAGGCTTTCGACTGTGTTTGGTTAGCTAATCTTAGCAACCTTTTTCAGTTAATTGGAATAAACTGCACTGGTTTCTGTAAGAACTTCAATATTTTCCCCTCTATGTGACAATTGGTGCCTTAACTAACAAAGCCTAACATCAGCAGTCACTGTAGGAATGTTTCTGTGCAAAACCTCTCCCTTTTGCCCCAGTAGCGCAAATTATGCTGGAGAGTTCATGTTTTTGGAGTTTTTTGGTTCCTCTTTCCAGGAAAGAATAATTTCCTCAGATGAGGAAATTTCCTGTCCTTTGAGAATGGAGAGGTAATATCTGGATTGTCTCATCTACTTTTTCTTAGCTTTTTTTGCCAGTGAATTTGGGAAGAAGTCACTTCTTTCTCACTGGAGAAGTGTGTAAATAAAGTTACGTTCACAGAGTGTGCATGAAGTGCGAGCTCTGCCAAACGCAACACTAAGATGTTAATGGAGTCTTTATGAGGAGGGATAGGCTCCCAGGAGTCTGGAAAACTAAGTCCAATCTTAATTCAGAATAAGCATGTAACATGCAGGAAAACTGGTTGTAGGATTTCTGAGGTTTCTTATTCCAAAGGATTTTAATGTAAAACCGTATCTAGATAATGCCTATACCTACCCATCTCAAATAACAAGAATTGTTTGCTATAAAACAATCTGTATTGCTTCCACAGGATCCCCAGCAGAGCTGTCTCCTAGTACTCTCTCCCCAGTTAATCATAGCCTGGGTAAGCTGGAAATACTTTTAATTGTTTTGGTGTGTATGATGACTCTTCTTTATATATATATATGATTACATTAAAAATGAAAATGCATTTTAAGAAAATAAGAGCTCTATTAGGAGGAGACTATTGGGTTGGCTTCATGATGATAAACGTAATAGGGCTGAGTTAATAATGTCATAGAATGGCTTGGGTTGGAAGGGACCTTCAAGACCATCCGGTTCCAACCCCCTGCCCTGGGCAGGGACACCTCCCACCAGCCCAGGTTGCTCCAAGCCACCTCCAACCTGGTCTTGAACCCCTCCAGGGATGGGGCAGCCACAGCTTCTCTGGGCAACCTGTTCCAGTGTCTCACCACCCTCACAGCCAAGAAGTTCTTCCCCACATCTCATCTCAATCTCCCCTCTTTCAGTGTCAAACCCTTCCCCCTCGTCCTATGGCTCCCCTCCCACTTAATAATAACTACTCTATTTGTGTAACTGTTGAGCTTCTAGCAAAGAGAAAGAACAATAATGGTTGTGTGTGCGGGAATGGCATTTTAAAAATAAATGGTTTAAAGGACTTTAGCCTATCCATAGTGCTGCCCAGACTTGCTGTCTCCCTTGTATGTGTGTTCTGTCCCTCATCTACTCTGTCACCTGTGGCCACAACACAATTGCTGCTCCCACACGAGTTGCCCACCTGCTTTGATCAGTGTGTCTGTATAAATGCCTCAGGAAGATCAGATTCCCTGGGGTTTGTTTGAGGAACGGTGACAGGATGTGACAGGAAAATGCTCTTCAGAACGCTGAGTAAGTATTTAAGGTAGGTAGAAAGGGGAAGCAGTACAGGAAAAGCTGAAGATGCACAGAGAAGATACTGAGCTGTAATAGCAGAGTGTAAAAGGAGCTTAGAACTACTTTTAGATAAAGAGACAATAAAAGATACAGTGTAATACAAGGGAACATTGTTTTCATATCATTATTTTATTCCTTTCTGTGGTTCAGTGTTTGGTAGTTTTGGTCTTTTCTTTAACCTTGCCAAAATGTTTCTAAGTTATAGAAAGGCAACAGGATCGTCTCAGCGTCTGGCACTCACAGCAACATCAGCTTAATCATTTTACTGAGCAAAATGCAAGCCCTGAACTGCATGGTCTGTGGTCAGGTTAGATCACCCTTTCTTCTTCCAGTCCTTCCCTTGGGTGGGATATCAAATTCCATTCTAGTTACTGGGGTAGTTTGAGGAGACTTGTCAGGGCAGATAGATTTCAGCCTCAAATTCTGTATTAAGATTATTTTTTTACTTTTTTTTTTAGACTTGCAGCCAGTTACTTACTCGGAACCTGCGTTTTGGTGTTCGATAGCATATTATGAATTGAATCAAAGAGTGGGAGAAACCTTCCATGCATCACAGCCTTCGCTGACCGTAGATGGCTTCACAGATCCATCAAATTCAGAACGATTTTGTTTAGGTCTGCTTTCCAATGTAAACAGAAATGCTACAGTGGAAATGACAAGGCGACACATAGGTAAAAAAAAAACAACACACACCTATGTTTTTTTAACTATTTCATTTTATTTTAGCTGTTAGATTCTGTGGAATGATCCGGGTAGGCTGGGCAGATCTGTGTGCTGGGATCCTTTCACCCTTGTGCATCCAGCCATTGAACTTCTCCCTTTCCTCTTGCCAAGGAGAGCTTGGTCTGTCTAGTTAAAGACAGAAGTGGAAAGACATGGAGGTCACCGCTTCTGAATTCAGGGAGAAATCACAGAATGATATGGGGTTGGGAGGGACCTCTGAAGATCATCTAGTCCCACCCCCCTGCCAAAGCAGGTCCACCTAGAGCACCTTCTAGTGCTCTAGAAGGCAGCATCTTCTGGTACTGTGGCCAGTTGCTACTTGGAAGAGACATAGTGATGGCTGGAGCTGAAAGGAGCTGCCTTTCCTCAATCAGTAGTCACTCAGTTGGTGACAGCACCAGTCACACAGCTGCCAGGCTGAGAGCCACCCAGGAGGAAGCCACTCAACTGTCTGGGATTCCTCTTCCTCACATTGCTGTTCTCTGCCTTCTGGAAAAAAAATGATGCCCCACAGCATCCCAAGGGGGCATGTTTTTGGCTTTTGGGCTCCTCCTTGGACCACTGGTTAGCGTTTATATTCAGAGCTGCTTATAATGGAAATTTAAGCTTTCATTATGAAATACTAATGTGTTGCATAGTTTATTGTAACTCATAAAATGAAGAATGGACGTTGGCAGTACTTTTTGAATTCTTTCCTGAAATGGGAGAAGCTGCCATTGAGATAACATGCTGTTTCAACATTTCTTTGTAATGGTCAGTAAAGAATATTGTTTTCCACAATGCAGCATCTTGGCTTTCATCTTAATGAAACTACTTTTTTTTCCCCTCCTTTTTTTTTTTTTTGATTCTTTTATTTAGTAACATCACAAGATTTTTTGGTTTTTACTTTTAATAAGAACGTTCAGCCTCTTTAGTAGAACCTTCTAACTCCCTGTATGCCAGATCAAAATGTTTCTCTAATAAAATTTTAGATGTGCTAATGCCTGTGCTGACTGATCAAAATGGTCAATGATGAGGAAAAGCAAAAGTGTGAGGAGCTTTCACTTTTTGCTCACATTTTGTTTGAAAAAGAGCTTTGAAGATTAAGGGGAAGAGAAACTATGGCCTTTAAAGGACATGTTAATTATAAATGGTTTTCTTTGGGGGATCAGTTGTACATTATTTCTCTTACTTGTGCTAGAATTTTTTTTTTTCTACTCAGGGAACAAGTTCACAATTTAAAAGTGAACAATAGGATTTCTCACGGGTATTTTTTTTTTTTAATAGGGCTAAATGAAATCTTGATGGTTTTGTCCAAGTAGTACAGAGAAGGGGAATGCAGTGGGTTGTGAAATAGTGTGGGTGCATGTAAGCGGAGAGTGTTGAAGTTGTGTCCTTGTGTTCTCTTTATTTTGCCATAGTGGCCCGTGCCACTTCACATGCAACAATTTAATATTAGCACAGGTTTTAATTCTGTTGCATCTAATCTTTTTACTTCAATGTTGGCATTTCTTTTAAGTGAAAGCACTATTTGGTGATTAACGCAGCTCCTGTATTTGGATTTGGTTAGAAGCCATTGTGTGGCTAGAAAATCCTCTCACTTTTGGGCAAAAGTTACTCTGCTTCTCCATCAAATACTGTACGTTCATGGGAGATAAATGCAAGTTAATTGTGTTCTGCTCCTGCCGTAGCTCTGTGGTCCGGTAGATAATTGATTTCTTTTTGTTGTAAAGATAAACCTCAGCCTTTTCTGAATCAAATACCTTTTTGTTTGTTAATCTGCTTGCATCATATGGTAACTAGAGTTCCTTTGCATTTTGCTGCAGGACGGGGAGTACGTCTCTACTACATCGGTGGGGAAGTTTTTGCTGAGTGCCTAAGCGATAGCGCGATTTTTGTGCAGAGCCCCAACTGTAATCAAAGATACGGCTGGCATCCTGCAACCGTCTGCAAAATCCCACCAGGTCAGTGGCCAACCAAAGGTTTCCTGCAAAAATACCTAGATATTTGCTTTCCTTTTGATAATTTTCTTCATAGTTTTGGGCTTCTGTGTGGCAAACGCAAGTATTCATTGACTGTACCCTTTTAACTTTTTTTTTTTCCTTTATAGGTTGCAATCTAAAAATCTTTAATAACCAAGAATTTGCTGCTCTTCTGGCTCAATCTGTGAATCAGGGTTTTGAAGCAGTTTATCAGCTTACTAGAATGTGTACCATAAGAATGAGCTTTGTTAAAGGATGGGGAGCTGAATACAGGTAATAAAAATAAAAAAACAAAACACTTTTCTTTACATTTAGAGTTAAACATTTTTCTGTTTTCACTAATACACTACTTCTGTCTGGCTTGAAGGCCATATATGCAGGCTTCTCACTGCTATTGTAGATAATGCTGTCTGCAAGTTAAATCCATATTTTCCTTTTTCTCTCCCCTCAGCTGTGGAGCTCCTGTAATAAAGACCAATAAAGTGAAATTTAGTATTGCATTGAAGTCAGCTGTTGAGCAAGGAATGTCATCAAAGTTCTGTTTCTTCCCTCAGTCCTGTGGTGAAATCACTGACAACCTCTAGAAGTTTTGCAGTTTGTGCTATGGGATTATTTGCTGTTTATCAGATTTACAGTAATTTTGGTCTCCTTCCTGTTCTATATAGAATATAAAGAGTTTGTTAGTTTGTGGTGCAGGATTCAGTTGGTAGAACCCGATGGAAAGGACTGGAATCACTCGGAGTGCATTCCGCAGAATAAAGCAGCTGGGGAACACACATTTAAGAGATGGCAAATATTTTGGAACTTGTAGTGGAAAAAACTTTGCAGGAGTAGGATGACTGTGTTTGTGTAGTAAAACTGCTAAAAACCCATTTTTTTCAGTGGAAAAAATAGTCTTTTATCTGCTTTTGAATAGATTCCAATTGTATTCTCTATTAGCACAAACTAAGAGCTATAGTTGAGGACAGTGCCTGGTTTTAATGTAGTATGGGAATTTTGGAAGAAAAGGAATTGACTTCTAACTGAGCAGTATTAAAGATTTCATTATTTTGGAGAGCTAGAGATGTGGTTTTAAACAAATCCCTTAAATCTCCCTAGAAGTTGTCCACTGAAAGAATGAAGTCTGACGTATCCATACCCTGTCGCAATATATAATGATTTTTTTAAATCCATATATTCTCTGAAGTTGAGTAATTACATGTAGGTTCTGCTCTGAATCCTGGGGGTTTGATTCTTTTATCTGCTCTTGAAATACATACATGTAAATAGCAGCTCCAGTATGTGGGGGAGGCATCTCGGCTAAATGAAGCCAATTTTGTAAAAGCCTAATTAGGCGAAATGAGAAATTTGAGTAATGGAATAAATTGTTACCTCTTTGTTAGCAAGAGGTACACAAGAAGGAATCTGGCTCAAGTTTAAAGAACTGCTGGATTTGGCTCAAAAGGAATATGTATACACTTACGCATAATTAAATACAAAATTCAAATCACAACAGAAGAAAGGCTTAATCAGTCAGATTATCTGGAGACAACTTGAAGTGGATGGAGCGTAAGTGCTGGGTTAAAAGAGCAGGGGGACTTTTTGGTAAAGTTATTTTTAAGGAGGGAGAATGTTGGTTTTTGGCTATAAACCCTTCAGAGAACATAAAACTGAAAGAGCTCCAGTGGAAACGCAGCCAGAAGAGCACAGGAACTGATTACTGACGTAACGCTGAACTAGTTACTTTGCATCTCTCTTTAAGATGGTGCTAATAAATTATTGATGCAGGAAACTTGTAAGTTATGCTGCAGTTGTGATTAGATCAAGACGAGGTTCCTCCTGCAAACGCAACTTTGAATTTAAAAGAGCGCAGTCTGAATTGTCAAAATAGACCAGGAAGCACTGGAAAATACATTCTTGTTAAAACTTCCGTGCTTCGTTATTATGTCAAAATCGTTTCCCATAGAACAGGCTTTGGCAAAGCCAAAGCGCTACTTAATTTTAGGCATATGTGTGTAAACGTGCAAAGTATAAGCTTGGTAGACAAAATAGCATGTACCTTTTTGCTCCTTACGTGTTGGCTTGAGTTGAAGATGGTGGTGGAAGTTCAGATCAACAGTCAAGTGTTCATGTTAGCTCAGGCACTATCCAGGTCTAGGATCATCTTCGGAAGAAAGTTAAGTAGAGGTAATCACAGAAAAAAAAAAAAAAATAGTCTTACATGAACTGGAAATTCATGGGTAGAATCACAAACTGGCAGGAGTTGGAAGGGACGTCTGGAGATATCTAGTCCAGCCCCCTACTAGAGCAGGGTCACCCAGAGCAGGTTGGACAGGAATGTGTCCAGATGGGGTTTGAATGTCTCCAGAGAAGGAGACTCCACACCCTCTCTGGGCAGCCTCTGCCAGGGCTCTGTCACCCTCGAAGGAAAGAAGCTTTTCTTCATGTTGAGATGGAATTTCCCATGTTCCAGTTTGTGCCCGTTGCCCCTTGTCCTGTCACTGGGCACCACTGAGAAGAGTCTGGCCCCATCCTCTTGACACCTACCTTTTATATATTGATTAGGTCCCCTCTCAGCCTTCTCTTCTCCAGGCGGGACAGCCCCAGGTCTCTCAGCCTTTCCTCAGCAGAGAGGTGCTCCAGTCCCTTGATCATCTTTGTAGCCTCTGCTGTACCTTCTCCAGTAGTTCCCTGTGTCCTTCTGAAACTGAGGGGCCCAGAACTGGACCCAGTGCTCCAAGTGAGAAAAGGCTGAGTTTTTGCTTTGAGACAGCTGTGAAGTGATTGTCACTATTTCATCAACTTTTGCCTATGTAGTGCGTAGCCAGGGCTGTTGAACAGAATCAGTTATAAATTTTTGAGGAAGTGTGTTGTGGAACACATTGTAGGGGAGTTGACAGCGGTGCAATCATGATCTTCCTTCTTTGGGAGAGGATTCGAGACTAAATGGAGTTATTCTTCCTGTGGTTTAGATTGTTCTTTTATTGGATCAACTTTGTTTTGGCATAGATATTTGGGGCTAAGATAACAATGTTCTTTAGAGTGCTGAGAGAGCACAGACCCCGCTGCTTTCCTCTCCTAGAAAATGTGAAACCACAGACAACTTTCTGAAATCCATCCTCCGACTGGCTTCATCTTCCTGCCTTTTCAGTTCCTCTGTTTAGGTAAACAGATTTCCTTGAAGCCAAGGGTTGCAGCGCCAACACTGAAAACGAAGGGGCTGGGCTTGTGTTTGACTAATCTGCTGCCTTTTGAATCTTAATACCTCCTTGCTTTGGCTTTGGGATAGCAGGAATTACTAGGAAAAACTGGCTCAGCAACAGTAGTCTTGCTGGTCTGGCTTGGGAAAGCTCCCATGCCTGGCGTGGGTACAGTGAAATAACAGGATTTCTCAGGTAGAGTGTGTCCAATACTGATTTCTGTACTTTGGAGATGAGAAGGAAGATTTTTTTTTTTTTTTTTTGAATAACAGGTCTCTGAAACAAGGGTATATGAGAGAATGAATGAAGCTTTTATGGTTGTCAGCCCTTCAGCTTTACTGAGGCTTTCTATATGGTGTTTAATTGAGGGCTTCTATTGTGTAAAATTACAAGGCAAGTTTATATTGAAGACAAGGGAAACAGATTTTATTGCTCAAATTGTTAGCGTGAGGATGTTGCAGTGCAAAACACGTGTAGAAGTACAAAGTTACAGGAAATCAGAGATAAAGTTTGGTATTCCTTTGAGATAGCATCACTTAGCATGGTATAACCACGCACTGTGTTTTGATGTAGCATTTCTGACAACATCTAGCAATTTCCTTATATGTTTGTCTTCTCAGTTGCTCCAAAAAGCCAGATTTTATGATCTCCGTAGTACTGTGCTGTTTGGCCATGCTGATGGTGTGGAGACAAGTGTTTCTATTCTGTATTTCTCTGCAAAATTCAAACCTAATTACACAGGTGGACCCTTTGAAGGTTGAGATACAGTTGCACACAACCGTGTGTGATGTGAACACCACATTGGGTGGACAATCTTCAATTTTTAATTTCTTTTTCATAGAATCATAGAATGGTTTGGGTTGGAAGGGACCTTATAAAGGGCCAGGCTCTCACCACCCTCACAGGAAAGAATTTCTTTCTGGAATTTCTTTTCAGAAGTAAGGCTTTTCGTGTGGCCCTTGAAGCTAGTATTGCAGTTCTTATCTTATTCTCCAGAGCAGAATGTTCTCAGTGTATTATGGGCAGGTGTGTAATTAGTGATGCATCGTACAGATGTGCAGTGTTATGGGTGGTTTTTCTTCAAAGACTGACTGAAAAACATTAGTAACAGTTGCGGTAATGGTTACAGATTATTATTTTGTATGATATTTGATCACATGACGGAGAATCTTATGGCAGCCAAATCTGCTTTCTGACTTTCTTTGTTATTCTTGTATTTTCTAGGCGGCAAACGGTAACAAGCACTCCTTGCTGGATTGAACTTCATCTGAATGGACCTCTACAATGGTTGGACAAAGTATTGACTCAGATGGGCTCCCCTTCAGTACGCTGCTCCAGCATGTCGTAAAACTCCTTCCTCCGTTACCAGTGGGCTAAATATCGACTCCAATCAACAGACTTAATATAACAGCTCTTCTGTCGTAGTATTTGTGTGTGGTCCCCATGAACTGTTTACTATCCAAAAAGGTTTTTAAAAAACAAAAAAAAAAAAAGAAAAACAGCACTTGAGGTCTCATCAATTAAAGCACCTTGTGGATTCTGTTTCCTATACTCTGATACTAGATGAAAATTTAGTTTATAGAAATACCTTCTTCAGAAAGAAGGGACAGTTCTAAAGACTCTTAATGGTGTTTTTATTGGATATATAATTGAGTGTCCTAATGGTTTATCAATAACATGAATAGCAAAGTATATGTCCAGATAATATATCATGATCTCAAATATCACAGTATTGTGCTGTTCTACATTTTAGTTCCCATAAATAGTCATTTGGTTTTTTTGATTGGGGCAAATCTCACATAAATTCCAAGACTCTACTCCTTTATTCTTTTATATTTTTTTATATAAGCAGGTTTTCGACTTGTCCTAAACATAAAAAGCAGACTTTCCTTGTAGAAAAGCTTAACTTTTTGCTGCCTTCTTAAAGAAAAAGAAAATCCCTCCATTGGAAGGGAAAGAAATGTCTTGAGATTCATCTGTGAAACCTTAAGACACTTTATATGCTTAATGGGGCCTAAAATGAATTCATATTATAAATTCCAAGTCTTCATCACACTAGGAGTCTACTTTTCCCTACTCATCTGAGTTGACACATCTGTTACCAGCAGTATTACTGGCACTGATATAATTTGGGACTTTTTTAGTACCTTGAATCATTGAAATCAGTATTTTTTTCTCATGGAATGAGAATTTACTGTAGCATTGGATACAGAATTAAGTACGCAAGGTTCTGGGCGTACCCCTTACATCTGTTTGGGGTTTTTTGTTTGGTTTATTTTTTTTAATTAAACAGATGCTACTAAAAATAATGGTTTTTAGGTTTTGGAGCCAGATACCTTGAAAAATCCTTTCCCAGGGTAAACTAGACTCTTTCGTAGTTTTTTAAATAGATGCAGCTTCTTAACATATTTCAGTAACAGAATTTAAATTTCTGATCAGAGTGGCTTTGTATAGCTTACTTACATACCAGATCATACGCATTCATTATGTCATAATGGGCCTTGTTATTAAAAGTAGTTGCTTCTGCAAAACCTCTAGGATAGTGGTTGCTGAGGTATGACCAGCGAAGGAGGACTTCTAGGTTCTTCATGACAGTGCATGTTATTGTGAACCCTTGGACACTACAGCTGCACCATATTAAAAAAAAAAAAAAATATTCTGAAATATATTCTACAAATAAGTCTGGGTTGGGGAAGGGTTGGGAAACTGTATAGAAGGGTTATTCTGACTTGAAAAAATATACATCTTACTAACAATCTTGTGATCTAGCTGTCTGTCATTCTTTTGTTATTGTGGCAGTAGCAGGATTGCTTTTTGTCTGGTTTTTTCTTTCCTCTCCCACATTTTCACCCATTACACTAGTACCGTACTTTGTAAGTACGTCTAGTGATAACTTTAGCTTTGAGAACAAAAAAATGTGGCCAGTGTTACAGCTTTTAATCAGTTGACTGAACCGATGGTAGTAACGGATATTCTTATGCCGTAATGACTAGGGCATAGAAGCAATACCAAAAATCAAGCCTTGAAAAAACGGGCCAGACACCTTTTAAATACATAAATAAATAAAAGAATTGGCAAAGCAGTTACCAGTTTGTGCTAGTTTTACCAGTAGACCAATGTATTGGTAGAACTTGTGAACCTAAGAAATAAGCTTCATGCGTGTTGCATTTGCCTAATACGTGAATACACTAATAAAAGTTTTAATTCTCATGATGGTGGTTTCATTTTTTTTTATTATTATTTATTATTAAATTGCTGTATGTGTTTTCTGTTGAAGGTTAGGAATCACTCTAACCCACCCTTTAGAGTTTTTCAAGACCCGCCTGGATGCAGTCCTGAGTCACATGCTCTAGCTCTAGGTAGTACTGCTTCAGCAGGGGAGGGTGACTAGATGATCTCTATGGTCCCTTCCAACTCTCAAAATTCAGTGAAATAAACGGCACAAGTGTCCTGTGTGTTGTGACTGGAAAGGTATCGTTTAGGGGTTGAAATCACTTCTTCTACAGCTATCGTGGAGGTTCTGGGTCTGCGTGCGTTTAATGGCACAAACTTCTACTCCAAGGTTATTAAAGGAGTCCCTTTTTATTTTTTTCCCCTGTCACAACCAGGTCACATCCCACCAGCTCAGGTGTTTACTTTCACCTGTGAAGCAGTTAGATAAGAGCCACTTGTCTGGGGGAGAGACTCCGTTGCATTTACGAGCAGGTTGGGGCTTGAATGGGGTTGGGCCACCTAATTCCTTGGCTCCTCACTTTTGGATTTCTGTGCTTTGGGTGAGGGCAGTATTCCTTGCTTTGACTCGAAATACTTAAAATACTCTCTCCTGCCACCGCTATTTCAGCCACAGCTTAGTGGAACTTACCCCCATTTGAAATGCTTGCTTGCCTGTAGGTCATTTAAATCCCTTTTCAGCAGCTCTCGAGTAACTTTTAGCCTACTCCTGTTTCTTAATCCAGCGCCTTTCTGGCTTATCCCACTGCTCTTCCTCAGAGGCTGGCCAGTGCCTGCTCCAGCATCTCAGTGGGGAATGCCTGTGGTACATAAAGAGGGTGACTTCATCCCTCCTCCGCCTATCAAAGTACTGATGTCCAAAGTACCACTGAAAATTGAATTTATTTTTTTTTCGATGAGGCCGTTTTGGTAAATAAAACACTTACCAAGCAGGGAGATGCTTTAAGTCTGGGTAGGCAGCTGCTTATATGTATGGTGAAGCTGGAAAAACTCTGTGTTTAATTGCTGCCTTTAATTTGGGCTGGGATTCCCTGTGCCTGAGTTAGTGCAAGTCCTAGTGAAGCTTCTTATGGACCCGATTCAAGTTGTGCTGTGCATCTGTGCTGTGCTTCCTCACGTGCTTGGTTCCAAAGCTACCAAAGGCTGATGAGGCTTGGGCTTGTCTCCGCTGCCAGCGTAGATGGATAAAAGCTCAAGAGAATCACAGACTGGCAGGGGTTGGAAGAGACCTTCAGAGATCATCTAGTCCAACCCCCTGCCAGAGGACATTTAGAGATCATCTAGTCCAATCATATCTCCAGAGAAAGAGACTCCACAGCCTCTCTGGGCAGCTTCTTCCAGGGCTCTGCCACCCTCAAAGGAAAGAAGCTTTTCTTCATGTTGAGACAGAATTTCCCATGTTCCAGTTTGTGCCCATTGCCCCTTGTCCTGTCACCGGGCACCACTGAGAAGAGTCTGGCCCCATCCTCTTGCCACCCACCCTTTAGATATTGCTCAGCATTGATGAGGTCCCCTGTCAGTCTTCTCTTCTCCAGGCTGTACAGCCCCAGGTCTCTCAGCCATTCCTCATCAGAGAGATGTTCCAGGCCCCTCCTCATCTTTGTAGCCCTCTGCTGTCCCCTCTCCAGCAGTTCCCTCTCCTTCTGGAACTGGGGAGCCCAGAACTGGTCCCAGTGCTCCAGATGGGGCCTCCCCAGGGCAGAACAGAGCAGAGGGGCAGGATGACCTCCCTCCACCTGCTGGCCACACTTTTTACTGCCCCCCAGGAGACCATTGCCCCTTGGACCAAGGGGCAACAAGTAGTTGTCAAGGTCACAACAGGGTCCACTCGAGGACGGAATGACTGTTCACTCCCCAGGCTGCATCTGAGGAGCTAAGTAGTCTCAGGAGTATGGGAGGACTGTGGTTGCTCTGGAGAGCATCCGGCCTCCATGCTGGACATACCTAACAGGATCCTAGATTGCAGAAGGAGGTGCACATTCATTCGTCAACATAAACCTTCTCTCCTTTCCTTTGTAGTTAAAGCTTTGGAAGTGATAACATTAATTTAGGAACAATAATCCCCTTCTAGACAAGTGCATAATACACTGTTTACTCATTGTCATTTTACTGTCCACCAGGAGCCCTAGATCTTTCTCTTCAGTAGTTGCCTCTAGCAGGTCCACCCCTAACCTGTACTGGTACCTGACATTTTTCTTCCCCAGGTGCAGGACCCTACACTTTTCCCTGTTGAACCTCATGAGGTCTCAATGTCTTGTAGGGAGAGGCCCAAAACAGAACACAGGACTCAAGGTTCATGTAGAACAGTATGGTCAGTGGTCTAGTCCTGCTGGTGACACCGTTCCTGGTACAGGCCAGCATGCTGTTGGCCTTCTTCAACACCTGAGTGTCTGTGGGATCCTTATCATCCCTCACTGGTTGGGAAATCCCTTTGGGGAACTGAGCTCCTGACACCAGGCACCACTGAGAGGATTCTGGATCTGCTGCCTTTGCTCTCTCCATCAGATATTTGTCCACATTGAGAAGATCCCCCTGAGCCTTCACTGGTCCAGACTAAAGAGTCCCAGCTCCCTCAGCCTCTTCCCTTACCACAGGTGCTCCAATCCTTTGATCATCTTTGTGTCCCTTTCCTGGTGTCTCTTGGTGTGGCCTTGTTTATCCTCTACTGGGGAGCCCCAAACTGGACATGGTATGCCAGATGTTACCCAACAGTGCATAGTAAAGGGGAAGAAATTTAAGGATCACTCCCTCGACCTGCTGGCAATGTTCTTCCTAATGCAGTCCAGGAGGCTGTTGGCCGCCTTTGCTGCAAGGGCTGGATGATGGTCAAGTTGGTGTCCACCAGGGCCTTTCCTGGCAGCTGGGTGGCCCTCAGCATTTCCTGAGGGTATGGTGAACCAGCATAACTGGGGGTATGGAATAACCCAGCAAGGTTATTCCTCCCCAGGTGCAGAACTTGGCACTTCTCCCTGTCAGACTTGAAGAGGCCCTGGTCAGCCCATTTTCCAGCCTGTTGAGGACCCTGTGGATGGCAGATCAAGTGTTGTATCTTCTCCATATCTGCTGTGGGTGAACTCTACCCCATCACCTAGGTCATTCAAGAAGGTCTTAAACAGTTTTGGCCCCAAGATCTATTCCCCCCGGGTTGTACCACTAGTGACTGGCCTCTGGCTGGACTTCGTGCCACTGATTACAACCCTCTGACCCCTTCCATTGAACCCGTTCTCAGTCCACTGCACAGTCCATGTAGCTAGCCCATCCTTCATGAACGTGTCTATGAGGGTGTTATGGGAGAGAATGTCAAAACCAAAGGGTGCTCCAACACTGCTCCAGTAGCTTAGGAGTGTAGGCTAAGGGACGTCTGTCCCCTGGTCTAGGCTCCTGCTGACTCTGACTGAATCCACCATTTCACTCCCAGTCGAGTTCCCAGTCTGTGTTTTCCCTCGGGCAGTGTGGAAAGGCAGCAATGGAAAGGGAGGTATGGCTGGAGGGGGGAGCTAAGCACATGGTGTTCTCCATGACCTCCCTGGCTTGCTGGAGGCATCTGGAATATCAGAAGGGTGGCATTTTTGAGAGGTTTCTAAGGCTGTGAAATGGCTGTGAGAGGCAGAGAAGAGGCTGGAGAGGGAAGTCTGAAGAGAATGAATTCTGGGGGAAAGGGCACAGGAAAAGCTGGCAAACTTCAGGAACCTGTTAGACTAATGAGAGCATGGTTTAATTCCCTCTGGGACCTTTTGAGAGGGATGGTGTAGAGAAGCAATCCTGCACTTGAGCCGAGTGCTGGAGCAAGCGGTTGGCTGTTGAAGCAGAACCCATCCAGCTTCATGCCTTTGCTTCCTCCTGCCCTGTGGGAACAGGCTCAGCATCTCCGTGAGCTGGAGCGATGCCCTTCTCACTGTGTGCCTTCCCAGGGGACCTCTCTCTTGATGGAGACTTTTTCAACACGTGAGGGAGCCACCAGCTGCCATCCACTGACTTTGCACCCAGCAGTGCACGTTACTTCAGAGGAAGCAGCTTCACTCCTCTGCAGTAAGGATTTTTCCCGTTCCTGTTAATTTCTGCTGGGGCTGCCTTTGCTTTCTCCCTGGTCAAATGAATCCTTGCACCTCAAGAGAAGCGAAGTGCCCTGGGTCATTTGGATTGGTGACCATCAGATGGAATCTGACTGAAAGGAATTTGAGGCTTCGTATCCTTCCTCTGACAGGGATGCTCAGGCCTGGCCTCAAGGAATTTCAAACACCATCTTTTCTGCTCTCTGTGGAAGGGACGCAGCACAGGGGGGGCAGCCAGGATTTGCTGCTGTGCTGAGCTGCCTCCATCTGTGGAGCAGTGGAGGTGGCTCTTTCCTCCCGGGAACCAGAGTCAGGACCGCCCTGTCCAGTTTGGGTGCTTTGAAGAGGCTGTTGACACGTTGGAAGGGATTCCCAAAAAAGCCAGTGGACTGCAGGTCTGTGATGGATGCTTTGGAACGAGACTTTGTTTAGCTTATGAAAAAGCTGGTGAATAAGTCACAGAGTCCCAGTCTGCTGGTACCCATGTGGCAATGAGGGCCCTGGCAGCAGCCTCCTCTGTGACCCAGAGGCAGAGGCGTGATGTTCTCCACCGCCGTGTGATGGGTTCTTTGGATCGTAGGCGCACACAACCACAGGGAGGGTTTAATTACTGCAGCAATTGCCTTAGGGAATCCCTCAATTCCCAACAATCACCTTCTGAAAAGAAGTGGGGACAGATCCCAGTTGGGGTGCTGGGGTCAGTGGCAGGAGTGCCTGCCCGTGTCTGTGTGCCTGAACCGGCCAAAGCATTCCTGGTTGCCTAAGGATTGAGATTCCCTATGGGATTGGTGCAGAAAGGTGGGAACGGCCCAAAACCTCCCAGGTGTAACTCAAGCCATGCCAATTGTTATAGTTAAAATAAAAAAACTAAGTCCGAAATAGATTCACTACATATTTATTAAGGTAGGAAAGCAAAAGCAGCGCTGGGCG